ATGGCGGCGCGGCCGGGCGCGGGGCCTCGGAGCACCGCGCGCGCCAGGCACGGCTCCAGCGGGCCCAGCTCCGCGGGGCTGCGGCAGAGACAGAAGCTAAGGTGGACGCCAGGGGTGGCGGTGGAGATGACCTGTCCTTGGAGCTGGGGGCTCGAGGCCAAGAAGACACGAGGCCCACCATCTAGAGAGTGACTGGAGGGGGCCGAGGATGGGCAGACCCCGATTCCCCCCGGGGTTCACAGGGAGCTAAAGGGACACTCCATTCGCAGCTAGAGGCCTCATTTTCAATCCTGAAACGCAGCTAGAGCATCTTCCGGACCTGGGGAGATCCTGTCTTCCACCCAGGACAAGATTAAGGGTTCCCAAATCTAGACAAACACCCCACTCTCAGACACGCCCAGAGAAAAACGAATGGGATCCCCTCAGGCTAGGCAAACACCCCATTCTCTCTTATACCCAGAAAAATCAAGTCTAAAGTGTCGTCTTATCCCTTCGCCCGCCCCCCGCCCCCCNTTCTCTGAGACAGTAGACAGCGACCAGGAAGGCAGATCCCGAGGCCACCGCCTCTCCGGCGAGCAGAGCCCCTCGTACCTGTAAAGCGCCGGGTCCAGCCCCGAGCCCGCCCCGTCGAACACGCGGTGCGCCAGGCTCAGCGCCGCGGCTGCGCAGCGACTGGGCTCCCACCCGGCCACCTCGGCCTCCAGCAGAGACAGTTCCAGGAAGTAGGTGGCAAGGAGCATCACCTGCGAAAGCATTAGCACCAGCCAGACCCTCAGGCCACAACTCCACACCGCACAGGCCACGCCCCTAGCCGCGCAGGCCCCGCCCCTGCCCCGCGCACCTGGGGGTTGCTCCCTTCCAGGGCAGCCAACAGCTCCAGGCAGAGGAGCGGGCCCGGGTGGTGCAGCCGGAAATCCAAGCGGCTCAGGATGCGGCGCTCCGCGCGCAGCAGCTCGGCCTGGGAGAAGGAGCCGGCGCCCAGGAGGCAGAGGGAGGAGGGCTGCGGGTTGGGGAGGAAGGGGTGGGGGAGTCTTGGACCCTGGCTGTTACTTCCTGTCCTGGGTTGATTCCATCCCCAGGAACCTGGACCTGTTTTCTGGCCTGTAAAATGGGGCCATTCATTTGTTGCCTGGAGTTCGTGGAGAACATAGGCTTTAGATTCAGAAAGGCCTGGATTTGAGTTCAAACCCTGCTGCTTAGGCACTGTGACATGGGCATTCACGGAAGCGCCCTGAGACTCAGTTTCTTTAACTGTAAACCAGAGATACTGCTCCTCCTTCACCAGGCAATTCTGATAATGCACTGAGCTTACCCATGTTAACTGTAACTACACTACTCAGTAAGGACTTTAATTACTGTAACTAAGTCCAGGTCCCAACTGCTTTACTGGGCAAATGTCTTCCTCTCTCTGGGCCTCAGTCTCCTCCAACGTTAAAGGCACCCACTGGCCGCCCTGACCTCATCAGATCTGCAAGCATTACAAGAGGACATAAAGTGTTCGCTGGGCACGGTGCTTTGCGCACAGTAGGCTTTGAACTGTGACTGCAGCAAGTAGAAAGGGCCCCACCCTCCCGGCCCCACCCCCAAAGTACCTCGGGAAGCACGCACTCTTCCATCTTGCAGGCCACGAAGAGACAGGCCATGCCCAGCAGCTGCAGGCGGTGTAGGCGTACCCGGCCCGAGCGCAGGTAGGAATCGAGCAAGTGCACTGCCAGGTAGAGCGTGTCCCCGGCCAGGCCCAGGTACTCCTGCGGAGGGGCGCGGGTAACAACCAGGCTGCTACGCAGGCCCCGCCCCGCCCCCTTTCCGGGACATACGTACGTGCACCTGGACCAGCCAGTCCACCACTAGCGCGCGCATCTCCGGGGTCACGGCGCGGGGCAGGGCCCTCCGGGGCAGCGCGCGGCACACCTGGGGCGAGGACGGACGGCTTCACTCTCCGCACCTGTGCCTCGGCCTCGCTCCTGAACTCCAGCCCTGGGCGACGCAGCCTCCTCGCACCACTTGGGGCGGCGTGAGCGCCGCACGGAAACTGCCTCCCAACGTCTCCAGATGTGCTCCTCTTCCGGGTAACCATCTAGAACCTGGGACTCTCTTCTGGATGCTTCCCTACCCACTTCTGCAGTCTTCAGCCCCCATGGCCACAGGACCCCCTGAGCATTTCCCCCTGGGTTCCCAGGCTCCGCACTTGGCAACAAATCCTCAATCCACCCTCCTCTGAGCACCCTGAAGGGTCTCTCTAAAGTGCAAACCTGACCAAGGAACCCCCCAGCTTAAAACACTGCCATTGCTTCCAGTGCCCTCAGGAGAAAAATCGAATTCCTCTCAGACTCTCTCAGGCCCTGCCTCTGCTCCAACATCACCTCTTCCCTCTCTCCTCACACTCCAGCTGTCCCAGCCTTCTTTTGGCCCGAGGCTAGGCCAAGCTTATCCCTGCCTCAGGGCCCATGCATATAAGTACTGCTCCGTCCACCTGACATGGTCCGTCCCCAGCTCCTTGCATTGCAGACTTCTCAGTCATTCATGTCTCAGCTAAAACTTCCCTGACTGTTGCCCGGCCGGCGTGGCTCAGTGGTTGAGCATCAACCTATGGATCAGGAGATCACAGTTTGATTCCCTGTCAAGGCACATGCCCCCGGGTTGCGAGCTTCATCCCCAGCAGGGGGCGTGCAGGAAGCAGCCGATCAATGACTCTCATCATTGATGTTTCTCCCTCCCGTCCCCTCTCTGAAATCAATAAAGACATAAAAAACAAAACCAAAAAACCACACCTTCCCTGACTCTTTCCATATTCCTCCCTACCTTATTATTTTCACTCTGGACATAGCTCGAGTTTCCTTGTGTGTTTTGTCTGTTTGTCCCACTAGATAGCTGGCTGGCACCACAAGGGCAGGGATTTCTGTCCAAATCCCAGCTGTATCTCAGTTCCTAACAGAGACCCTGGCCCAGGAGAGATGTTCACAAGATGTGTGTTTAATAAATCCACCCCTTGAGTGTTTCTTCGGACAGCGCTTGTCTCAAACAGATGTCTGAGGGCTGCCCTGGCCTGTGTTTTGGCCTTTATGGCCCTTTGGAAGCCATGGCCTACATTTGCTTGCTTGTCTTACACAATGAAGACAGGCTGCTGGGGCGTTCCCCGCATCCCCAGTGCCTAGAGCATGCCCAAAGCATTTGTTAAACTTACTTCGAAACTCTATAATTTTTTTAAGGCACAGGGAGGATAAAAACATTTGTTAATAAATCTCTAAATATTCGTTAAACGAATAAATGTGAAGGACAAGTACGAGGGGCTCTGAAATACCGAAGGAGGGGCTGCAAAGAGCGTGGGAAGATGGGAAGGGGCATTCGAGGGTAACTGCTGGAAAAACCAAACCACGAACTTGGGGCAGGGTTGGGAAGTCAGCGGGAAGGGGCAAGACTGAGGCTGGCGGGAGCGAGTTCAAAATGCCCCTGAGCGGGCGCTGAGCGAGCCCGCAACTCTGGCCTCGGCAACCCACCCCTTCTGCAGCCCGCAGGGCTGGGGCGGCGCCGGCGTGGCCCGTGGCCAGCCGTCCAGGGAGTCTCCCCGGCCCCTCACCATGACCTCGGCGAAGATGTCCCCGGCGTACTCGCGTTCTCCCTGCAGCCCCAGGGCGCCCAGCGCCTCCTCCAGCCCCGGCGGCGCGCACGGCTCCAGGTGCCTCTCCGCGCGTCCTGGGGAGGCGCTCGTGCCCGCGGGGACGTCGTCGCGGACTGGGGCACCTGCTGGCTCTGGGTCGAGAGAGTCTGACGGACTCTGCAAGGGAGAGGGGCTGGGGTCAGCGCCTGGAGGGTCCCGAGCTGGGAGTGGCACCCCCGCTCCTGCAGCTCACCAGCATCCTGCAGGCTGGCGTCGAGGGCGAATCCGACAGCCCACCCCCTCCTGCTGCAGCGAGGCCCCGCGGCCGGCGCTTTATAGGAGCCAGGGCGCATGCGCACTGAGCGCGCCTCACCTGGGCACGTGGGCTGGTGGGCAGGTGCGTGGGCAACGGCGTAGACAACTACCAGCCCTCGAAGGCAGGCCGCTGGAGGCGAGCTCGCGTCCTGCTACCCCGTGACGAGCAGCAGCCCCTCGGAGCCTCACGTTCCTCGGCTATGAGGTAGGGATTATTTCAACTGAGAGTTGTCCTGAGGATTTTCTAAGATTGTTAAGTGGCCAGCACCGGGCTTAATAGAGTCGAAGCTCAAGACATAGGAGCTACAAGTCCCTTCACAACTCTAGAGACCTCCGTGCTCCGGGCAGTGGGAATCCGGGGCTGAGCAAATCCCCTGTAGCCGCTGCCTTTAGGCCCAGAGCTGGGCGGGTGTGGGGAGGTCTCAGACCAGCGATAGGGTTGGTCTGCGTTAGAGCAGCAGCCTCCTCACGGCTCTCCCTGGCCTCCGCTCAGAGCTCCCTCGCAGCTCCCATCTGCCTCAAAGTGAAAGTCCACCAGGCCCGATGTTATCTTCCCACAGCTGAGCGCACCACCTGTGAGCTCATCCGCTACCCCAACCTCCCGCACTCCTTCCTCTCCCACCACACTGGCCTGCAGGCTCAGCCTCGCCCACACCAGGCACGTTCCTGCCTCAGGGCCTTTGCACTGGCCGTTTCCTATGCCTGAAATATTCTTACCTCAGATATCCCTCTTTACTCAGATGTTACCCTCTCCATGAAAAGTGTCATCCTAAGCACTCCTGTTCCCATTCTCTGTACTTATGTCTCTCCTTAGCACTTACTGCCTTGTTGTCTCACTCCTGACTGGAATATGAACCCCATGAGGGCACGGCTTGTCTGTTTCTTGTTTTAAAAAATATGTCTTTATTGATTTCAGAGAGGAAAGGAGAGGGAGACTGAAACATCAATGATGAGAGTCATTGATTGGCTGCCTCTTGCACGCCCCCTGCTGGGGGATTGAGCCCACAAGCCAGGCTTGCCCCCTGGCCAAGAATTGAACCATCTCCTGGATCCTAGGTCCATGCTCAACCACTGAGCCATGCTGGCCAGGCTTGTGTATTCCCAGTGTCTAAAACAGGGCTGGGCACATCGTACTCAGTAAATATTTGTTATTGAGTGAAAAGGCTGGACTTGTAATTCAGAGACAGTGGTCTGGAAGGATGTCTCTGAGGTGACATTGGAACTGAAACCTGAAAGAGGAGAAGGGGCCAGGAAAGCAAAGACAGGAAGTGGAGGCAGCAGCCTGAGCAAAGGCCCTGAGGTAGGAAAGAGCTTGCTATTTTCAGGCACTGAGAGGTCAGTGAGGTTGGCAATGTGAGCACATAGGAGAGTGTGAGATGCTGGACCAGTGGCTTCTTGTCACACATACAGTAAAACCAAACTTACAAGGTTCCTTTAGCCCATTGTTACCTCTCTAACCTTCCTTTTGCTCTCCCCCTCCTCACTCCATCTGAGACACCTTGTCCTCTTTATGGTCCCTAAACACATCAGGCACCTGCCTGGCTCAGGGCCTTTGCACTTGCTGTTCCCTTTTCGTGAGCACTTGGTGAGAACCTGGATATTTACATTCTCCGGGTATCTCTAAGCAAGATACTAACTACAAAGAGAACGTAGTTAACTTTATAGTAGAGAAACCTGACAGATGCCACCTTAACCAAGAGATTAGTCACCACTGCTAAGGGGATGTTTGGAATCCTCCTGGTAAGTTGCACTGAGAAGGGCACATCATTTCTGGGAATTCCTGCCAAAAATAGCTTGAATATAGCCACAAGGAAACATCAGGCAACGATATCTAATTGAGGAACATTCTGCAAAATAACTGCCCTGTAAGCTTCAAACCTGACAGACAACTGGATTCGACGAGCCTGGATTGAGTCGCTAGCCAGGAAATTGTTTCTTCTTTTGTACACAAGGACATTAGTGTGGCCATCATAAAATGTAAGGTCTGAGAAGAGCTTTGTTTCACTGTCAACTTCCTGACATTCATCACTGGACTGTGGTTAAGAGAATGTTCTCATTATAGGACAGATATAAGAACATGGAGGGGGGAGGGGATACGGTACATGTAAAACGTCGTGGGGAACCTGCATGAAGGGGAGATGAGGATTATTTGTACTTACTTTTTTGTTAATCTTCACCCCAGGACATTTTTCCCATTGATTTTTAGAGGGGGGAGGGGAAGAGACAGGAGAGAGAAAGATCAGTATGAGAGAGACACATCAATTGGTTGCCTCCTGCATGTGCCCTGACCGGGGCCAGGGATCGAACCGCAGCCCTTTGGTGCGCAGGCTGACGCTCTAACCACCGAGCCATGCCGGCCAGGGCTATTTGTAGTTTTAAAACAAAAAAACCCTTAAGAGATTTATGAAAAGTTGCAGATAGTACAGACTCGTCAATGTTGACACTGACCTTGACCACTGGCTGATAGTCTTTCTCAGGCTTTGCCCCATCTATACTGCACTCTGAGGAAGTCACTTCGCAGCCCACACCTGAATAGGGGATATGCTGTCCCTCCTTGAAGGCAGAATATCTGCGGAAATTATCTGACTTCTATAGATGTCTGTTCTCACCATTTATCTTTATATCAATGCGGACTCGTTTTATACTTTGGATATAACCAATCCTATGCTTTTATTTTGGTGCTCAAATTGCGTTCGGCTGTGGCCACCAGAAACTCTTCCCATGGGCTCTTGTGTCCCTTTACATGCCACTAGTAAGGTTTTTTCTTTTCTTGCAGGTCCTTCCGGACATGAGCAGATGCTCCAAGCTCCTCTTGTGTATTTCCTGCTCCAGTCCAAGATTCGCTTTAGCACTATTTTTAAGTTTCAAAGTTTTCTACCAGTCTGCAATTATTTCAAAGTTAAAGATATGTGAATCACACTTTTTTGGAAAGCTATCCAACACATATTAAAATGCAGCAACCCTGGAATGTGGGCCACAGTAAAAGCATAAACTCGGTAAAGGTGGATGGTTAAGGTTTTCTTCAGTACTGTGGGTAGCAGCAAAAAGCAAACAAAAAACCCTGGAAATGAGGTAAATTCTGTCAACAGGGGTGGCTGTATCAGTTGAGGTGCGTCCACCCTGAGGAACCTTGTGAAGCAACTGGAAAGCATGACCAGCGATGTCCACAAGGTGCCCCCCAAATGCAGAGAAGTGGCTAAAAGAGGATCTCACTTCTACCAGTGACCCAGAACACATGGTGGTGGGAGCAGGGGTAAGGCCTGGCGGGACACAGCACAGGGGCGGCATGAACTGGGCGGACAGTTGTGCAGGAGAAGGGACCAGCCTTTTCACGATGCCGTGCCCATTTGCGTAGAGGTGACGTGAGCACCAAAATCAGCGCCCGAGGCCTGGGACCTGGGTCATTTTTACCCCCTTCCGCATACTTTTGTTTTGCATTACTCTGTACACACATACACACACACACACAAAACCTGTGACATTTCCTACACGCACATGACAAAAAACAGTACTCAACACTTAATTTTTCTAATTGGTAAAATTTTATTAAAATTCTTCCACCTAAAACTCCGTTTGGGGAAAGCCCTACAGAAATAAGCACCACTGACTCTAAGGACATTATGTTCAACAGAGAAAGCAGCTGATTAACCCGCAGGAGCCCGCCCTAGGAATGTGAGAGAGGCCCCCAGGGAGAGACCCACGTGGGAGAGCTGAGTGACAGTGCCACGTGAAAGGAGTCTCTAGCACCGGTCCCTTGGGACTGTGACTAACGGGGAGAGGAAAAGGCTTTTCTTTACAAGCCTCTCTGCTGTATACCTGGTACTTTTGTAATTTAAAAAATAATGTCCATATGAAATTAGAAAAAAAAAATCCAAAAAATTCCTTGAGTCTTGGCTGCAGGTAACAGACTTCCTGGATTCAACTTTTCTGCTACCCTCATTTAAGATCTCAGAAACTCCTTGCACGGGAAGCCCCGATAGCTTCTGGCAAAATTGGGCATAAATTCACCTGTGCACAGCAGGGCAGCCCTGGTCCCAAGGTCTGGGAAGAGTCAGTCAAGCACAGGAACCAGCTCTCAGGTGATTCCCAGAGCTGAGGGCTGGGACCAAACCTGAGGTGCCCCCAGCTGACAGCCACCACAAATCCCCGTGATACACCAAGGAATCTGTAGGGGAACTGGGGGCCCCAAGGCTCACCAGTTTAGCATAAATGGGGGCGGGTGAGGTCGGAGGCGCACAGGCAGTGCCGCTGAGGATTCAAGTGCCACAGGCACGAACACACTCCCTCCCGCTCACACTGCTCCCGGCTCAGGGACACCTCACGCCCTGCTTGCTCAGAGACACCCGACCCCTCCCACTCCTGGCCTCCACTCCCCTTTCTGCCTAAGCAGCTTCTGAGTGCCTGGGATGGTCTGTCCACAGTCTCCTAAACTCCTCAGCAGCTTCCACCCCCAGCGGTCCCCTCCCTCTCCAGCGTGAGCCTGACACCTCCAACCAAGACGCCTTCTCTGCCTCCATGACTTAAAGGGCCCAACCTAACGGAGCAATGGGAGCAGGAGGCGGCTGGTCCTTGGAGCCGGACTCCATAAGCAAGGAAAGGCCCAGGGTGGTGGGCCCCGGTCTGAAACGAGTCTTTATTGCTTGTACCGTACAAATACAAGGAACAGGGAAAGGCCAGTGGGGAAGAGGGAGAACTGTCAGATAAATGACATACACACACAAAGGAAAAGAGACCTCCCACCCCCCCAAACCAAC